TACAATCTAAGGGATAGGGAATGAACGTTTATATAAATAATAAAAATAAAAAGGACATTATTAAGACATTCGGAGACAAAACAATACAAGTTAAAAACGAAGTCTTACCTGTGAAGTCCAATGGTAACAAAGATGAATCGAATGAATCAAAAGCTGTCGAAGCTGATATCAAAAAGAACAAACATAAAACATTCGTTCTTTGTCAAAAATCTGCTGATGCAGATGGTGCTGATAAAGCATCTAAAATCGAACATTGCTATCATCATATAATTGGATATGAAAAGAATAAACAAAGGGTATCCAATCATTATCAAAAATCCTCTAATATAGGTGATCTTGATGAAACCGGTAATAAAATAGAAAGATCTAAAGCATTCAGCCATTACCAAAAATCTGCTAAAGGTGATCTAAAGACACAAAATAATCTTGGATTGTATTATCGATATAGAATTGGAATCAATAAGAATAAATATAAGATATTCATTCATCATCAAAAATCTGCTAATATGAACGATGATAATGGAATAGTTGAGGTTAGGCATTGTTACCAGAACGAATCAATAGTTGTGATGGAAGCACCATTAGACGAAGTTATGAAAATGGATATGATGATGAGATGTTTACTAGAAACATTGACAAAGACTGAATATAGCATTAATAATGCGAACAATGAGAATGATTTGATCAAGGTATATGAAAATGATGATGATAGTAAAAAGGTCGTTGAATCTAGAGAATCTAGCTCAGATTGTAGAACTGAAATTGATAATAGAGTTGTAAACAAAAGCAGATCTTTGAATAACAAATGCAGTAATCTTCTTATGAAGCAATAGATGGAAAGATGAATGATGTTTGTGAGTAATTGGATTAGGGATCCTATATAGCTACGAAAGTTAAAATGCCAATTAATCAAGAAATATGGCATTACGATGATTGTAGATCGAAAGGTAAATTGGAGTCACGCTGCGTTGTGTAATAGTGAAAAGATTGAATTTTTTAAACGATTGTACTTGGATCAAATAGCTAGAAGTAGTTCGGAAAAATTGGTTAGTACAGTATTTGATAATTACCTTGAAATGAAAAAACTTGGTAGGGTGAATATGAATTGTTGTAACTTCAGGACTAAGTTACTAGGGTTCTAGCTTGTATTGCGAGACTACACAGTACCCATGTAATTAGTGATTGGATACGTGTTGATTGATCTAATTAATATATGATATATGAATCAGATGATCACGATTTAATTAAAAGTCTAAAGTAGTAATTGCATGAACAATATAGTAATCAGTAGTGATCAGTATTGTATGAACAATGTAGTAATCAAATATGTATTAGTAATAATATATAAGGTATTGATCCAAATAGAGGAAGTACCTAACTTTTGTTTTCATTATCTCTTTGAGTTATTCTTAGTGAATAAACTGTTTTATCTGTATGAATATATTGTTGATAGTAGTATCTAGCATGATATTCCAGTCATCGTTTAATTGCCAAATAAGTTAAAGACTGATAGTAAAAGTCTACGAATACACAGTAGTTTGAGAAACTACGTGATACTATTACTTGTAATCCGATAGACCAGTTGATAAATTTTTCGATAATCTTTTTCTATACAATTTTTCTCTTATAAACATTGTTTGGGGATATAAAACATTATTATTATAATTTTCAGTTGCTTAAGAACTAAGCTTACTGAAATTAAATATTTATTAACTTTATCTATTTGTCCTATATACTTCTCCTATTGCTCATTTATTAGTAATCTAACTCTAGAGCCTTTCTTCTTATTCTTGTTTAAGTTTACCCAGAAGCTTTTATACTTTGAATGTTCTCTAGTTAACCACATTACTTCTTTACTTGAGATATTGGTTTTGGCAACTCTTAAAATATCTATTGAATTGCCTATAGCCCACTTATATAATGAATCTATTTTCTGAATATTACTTTTAATACTATTGATATTATGAGTTGCTATATTTAGTTTTGTTCTCCTTCTTGTGTAAGTTCTATTTATACTATTTATACTATTTATACTTTCTTCCTAAATTGACAACTGTCTGTGTGCAGTTTTTTTACCTTTTTTGTTTCTGTATTTATTGGTCGGCAAAAGATAATCTTCTCTTTATTGATCTTTTCCCTGATGTCTCCTTGCAG